TCCGGAGCAGGCAAGGACATGCTGTCCCTCCAGCCCCAGGCAGACACTATCTTTGGGACCTGAGACTGGGCACAGGGTCCCTTTGAGAGACGCACAGCAACGCTGTGGTCTGATACTGACCGAGGGAGAGAGGGGTGCGGCCCGCGACCCAGTCTCAGGGGCAGCACCTCAGCAGGTGCCCAGGCTCTGGCCCGGGGAGGGCTGGCGTGGGGACCCAAAAGGGCGCCTACAGACTGAGTCCAGGGAGGAGAGGTCCCTGGGAATGTGCCATGGACCTCCAGTCTTCCTCATTTGCATTTAAAAGCCGTTGTGAAAATGCAATTTACTTGTCCTCTCTGCAGTAACAATGACCACAGCTCTGTGAGGATCCTCCAAGGGCAGGCAGCCAGGTGGTGGGGGGCGGGGAGGTGCGCCAGTGGTGCTTGGCTGTGTGGGACCCCTTTGAAGTGGCCGGAGGCCTGGCCTCATCAAATGCACTTCAAGGGCTGCCAGCACGTCATCACACGGAGCTGGGCCTGCCTTTCCAGCCCGAGTGGGCTTGATGGGAGGGAGTTTCCGGGACTGAGCTTAATACTTTCAATTTCCAGTTTCCATCTTCCTAAATTGAAGGGCACACCCAGGGTGACTGTATTTCCTGAGCGCAAATTGGATTTTGCTCACCGGACGGTCCCCTAAAACACAGGACATTGTCCGGAACTGACCGGGGGTGGAGGGTGGGGGGTCTGTTTGGAATGTTCTGAGTAACTGATGGGAGAGTGGAGGAAGCCTTTGATTGAGATGAAGACTTTTGCTCCCCCACCCACCCCCAAACGAAGTGACTTTTTCACGGACCAAGCAGCAATATTGAGGCTGGAAGCACCTGGAGAGATGGCACACAGGGACGTACAAACTTTCATCGCTTCCCTCAGCCAGCCGCCTGGAGGAAGGAGTGAATTAGGCGCTGGCCATTTTTCTCCCATAGCTAGGATTCACCCGCTATGGGGCTCTGGAGTTGATGGAACTAGAAGCTCCCGAAGCCGTCTGGGGCTCTGGCCACCATTCTTAGTGTAACAGCCCTTGGCAGGCGGGCAAGGGGCTCTCCTCTCAGGTAAGCAAGTCCTCGTTTTCTTCTGAGGGAGCCCTGATGTTGCTGGAACCTGGGCTGCGATCTGCATGGTCAGCAGTTCGAACCCACGAGCAGCTCCGAAGGACAAAAACTGGGCTTTCTACTCCTAGAAGCAGTTAGTCTGGCAACACCACAGAGGTGGCGCTTTGAGCCAGCGTGGCCTCGATGGCAGTGAGAGCTGCAATCGCTGAACCTGGGGGTGGAGGGGGGGTGGTCTACCCTGTCCCATAGGGACTCAGAGTCGGAATGAAGCCAAGGGCGGCGAGTTTGGTTTGACTTGTCAAACTCAACCCGCTATCTTCAGAAGGAGGTGTGAGGCCCCGCGAATCCATGGGAGAATCCTCAACTTGCCTGGAAGGGGGCCTGTGAATTCTAGCCACTCTACCTTGTGAACTGTGGTGCTGGTGAAGAATATCGAAACCACCACAGGTTTCTAGAACAATCCTGTCTTGGAAATGCAGCCCAGGGTGCTCCTTCGAAAGGGGATGGTAAGATTTCGTCTCAAGTACTTTAGACACACGTGTCGCCAGGGAGTGCATTGGTGAGAAAAAGGACAGGGAAGCAGTGGTGGTTTTTTGTAACCCTCAGGATGTACCCGCTCCTTCTTCAAGCGTAATGAGATTTTGTTGGGAAACCTTACCCCAGCCACCCTATAGTCTTGATCCTGCCCCCTCAGCCTTCTTTTTGTCTCTGAAACGCAAAGCAGGTTCGAAGGAACACAGTTCCCCGAGAGGTGGCCCAGCTGCTGTCTGAATGTGGTGTCCACTGAAGGACGCAGACTTTTTCAGGGAGGGGTGAAGAAAGATCGAAACAGTGCCTTCGTCAGTGGGTAGACTTGCATGCAGAAGATATCCACCCTCACATTCTCACAGATTTACTAGAGGACCGATGCTTTTATAACGCTTTACTCATCTTCCTATCTATCTCTTCTCCAAATGTACCAAACCAAACTCACTGCCACTGAGTCGGTCTACTCATCGTGACCCTGTGGGGCAGGGCAGCACTGGTACAGGACATGGGCCAATACAGACTTATGGGCTTGATCTGGACTGGGCCGGGATGTTGGATCGAAAGCTCTCTCTTCTGCACGTGTGAGTGTCTCTGGATTTGTTTCTCTAGTCCACCTCATCTAACACAATGGTCTAAAAGTAAAAAGAACTTCAAGCATAATACATGATTAACTAAGAAGTCCTAAATCCATGACAAATAAAACAATGTAGGAGGCTGGGGAAGAAAAGGAGGGGAATATCAGGAATCAGGGCCAAGGAGCCCGAGCTGGCCCCTGGGGACTCGGGGTCAGGCCCTTCAGCTCCTCTGCCAGCTCTGGAGCGCGCCCCACAGGCAGGTCGAGGCAATTGAGCAGACCGAAAGGGCAGGAGGAGTTGAAGGTGGGGGAGGCCGAGGGGGATGGAGAGAATAGCAGGAAACTTTGGGGAAATGGGGTGCAGTGAGAGAAAAGAATCTGAGCCACGAGTGCTTTTCGAGGCGATGAGTGCAAATCAGACCGGCTCCAACTCAAGACCGTTAGTTTCAATCCCAGAATCCTCACTGCCATCCTCACTGCCTTCCCCACGTGCCCGTGCGCCCTCCACCCCAATTAGTGGGTTTCTAGAAATGCAATCATACCTACCCAGGAGCCAGGCACTATCCGGCTCAGGTCCAGAGGCTCTCCCCGCCCAGGCCCAGGGCATTTGACAGCTTGTGCATTTCCAGGCAAACACGGCTGGGGGTGGCTGTCGGGAGGAACCTTGGTGGTTGACCAGCAGGCTGGTATCTGACTTTCAGTCACCCACAGTTGCTACCTGTGGGGTGACTAGCATTTGCTATTTCTGAAAAGCCATCCATCCCACTTGGCGAGCTTTTTGTGAGAAGTGACGGACTTCTGAGAGACCCTGGGGCTGGCTGACCACACTGTGCCTGTTGTGGCTCAACGGGCGCTTTTCCTGGGCAGTGCCATCTGATCAGCTCTCAGGGGACTTGGTTCCTCTTGGCTTCTGGCACGGTGGGCCTCAGCCACATGGGGTGGAGTCACGGAATGTGGCAATGAACTGTGAAAGGTTTCTGAATGTGTGCCCCCAAATTAACTCAAAATCAACCTTGTGGTGGATTTGAGGTGTTTCTGGGAGCTCTCAGCCCTGTTGCTAATGTTTTGTCCATCCCCCACCCCCACATTGGAGGGTCTCATTCCCGTGTGCCTCCTGCCAGTCAGGAGTCTTTCCAGTGGTCCCTGCCAGAGCCAACCACCTGGGCGGAGGGGTGGCAGTGGGCAGGGAGGTCTCAGCCTTTCATTTCTCCTGAAGTGCCACCCTATCCCTTACCCCCATCCCGCTATCAGGATGATGGGACTGAATGCCGAGTGCTGGGAGAGACAGGTACTGACCAAAGCAGGCTCTCCTCCCCGATTTCACCGGGCATACACCCTTCTCCACGGTGGCATCTCCCTGTCAAGAGATGAGCCTGGCATGCCGGGATGTGCCAAGCTCGAGGCTCTCCATTGCAAAACAAAGCCTAAAGGAAGGAATTTGTGAGCGCGCCGATTTACAAACACTCCAGCCAGCCACTGAGCAAACACTGCTTGCTGTGTACCCGCTCGCGCTCCCACGTGGCTCCCTGGGGGCCATCGTGAGCTGCCAAGCGCACTGCTGCTCGGCTCCTCCTGGCCCGGGGCTGTCACAGCAGCACCCGCCTCCACGGGGCCTCGCCTCACTCAGGGTGGGGAGCTGCGGCGCCCGGTCTATGGGTGCACCCCTCGATGTGCCGTAGGCTGCCATTCAAATGGAGCCAGTGTGGGCCTCTCTGAGAATACGACGGTACCCACGCCACGTGCACGGGTTGGTGGGAATGTTCCCATCCCAGGCTGGGTTCGCCCCAACTTCCTGTCAATAGAAGGTATCAGGCGTGTGGCGATACCGCCCACACGCCCACTGCCCCCAACGAATACCAACTGTCGGCAGCAACTCAATGGCAGTTGGTTTTTCCTGGGGGCAGTGGGCGAGTGGGCACTGTCTCCACATGCCTTCTGTTGAGAGGAAGCTGGGGTGAACTCAGCCTGTGAGGGGAACGCTCTAGTAAATACTGGGTTACAGCCAGTGGTGGTGCGGTGGTTAAGCACACGGCCGCTGAGGGAAAGGCTGGAGGTGCCACGGGAGAGAGGCGTGGCGGTCTGCCCCTGTCCTGCAGGGGTGACGTGACTCAGCAGGGACTCAGTGGCTCCTGAGATATGACACAGCAAGGACTATTGCATGAGCGGGCGCAGGGTGCTGGGCCCCTGGCTTCTGCACAGGAAAGCGGAGCAGCAGGCTCCCCCACTCCCCTCCTGTCGACAGTCGAAGGGATGGAGGTAGTTTGCCCAAGCTGTGGCGCCCTGACTTGTCCCAGGCCCCAGTGCGTATTCTTCCCTTCTTTCTAGCGAAGGGAAACGTGATGTTTTTGGAGAGCACCCCAGAACAGGTCCACAAATTCTGCCATCTCCCAGGTAGACCTTCCACACCCACGTGGATCCCTGGACTCCCAGGCAGGTGGGTGCTGGGGCCACAGTCACCACGAGGATGCTGGGCGGGCACTAGAAAGACGGAAAGCTCCGAGGGATGAAGGCTGGAGCATAACCATCCCCAGCGCTGCCGGGAGCCAGTTCACGGCCCAGACAGGACGATCTAACACTCCCCCACCCCACCCCCCACCCCCGCCAAAAGAGAGGCCCTGTGAAGAAGCTTTCTGGCACCTTCCCTCCGGGGGGGGCCCAGTCTAAGTCCCACTCGGCATGAGTGGCTTGGGCCAGGTGCAGCGGAGCCGTTTAAAGGATGTGGATGGCGTCGGCGCAAACGGATCGACTCAGTTTCCCAAGTGAAGCTGCCCACCGGCCGGAGGAAAAGGTGAGGCCTGGGGCTACAGCACGGTCTTTGTCAGAAAATACATTTATTCGTGATGCCGAGAGGGAGTCCAGAGGTCAGTATTCATGATGGCGAGGGCGTTGGGGGAAGGCTAGGCTGCCTTTCCAGTGATTAAATGAAAAAGAGGCCTTGTTTTACTTGTAATCATCAGCATGATTCCCGTGAAAGGACAGGTTCTTCCGCTTCTCTCTCCTCCCTCGGGAGATCCCCAGGACAGATAGAGCCGGAGCTCAGGCAGAATCCGCCCAAGAGGAGAGAAACGGAGAGAAAACCACTGGGCCACAACCTGGCTCATGGGCCGGGCTCGCCCCACGGCGGGCTGATGGGGGAGAAGGCTCGGGGTCAGCGGAAATGCACGGAACGCACCCTGAAGGAGACAAGCCCTCCTTCACCACCACCCAGGGGCGGTCCCAACACGCCAGCTGTCCCAGGGGGCCAGCCCGTCCCTGAGCTGGGCCTAGTCCGACTGGGATTGGTATCTGTTGAAGCTGTCCTCTGATGTCTTTCTTTAATGTTCTTTTTCAGTAAGCGGTTTTCTCATGGGGGGTTTGGGGGGGAAAGGGGGGACAATTCCACCTCTGGAATCCGAGTGGATGGAGTTCTGCTGGTTTCCGCCATGGGTTTTAGCCTCCCTTCTCCAGCAGGCTGCTCTGCAAGACAAACAGGAAGTGTTAAGCTCTGTCTAGGGATTTGCTGCACACGGCGGGACAGGGGAGGGCAGCCCCGGGGGTTCCTGAGACGGTCGCTCCTTATGGAAGCAGAAAGCCTCATCTGCCTCCCCAGAGAGGCTCGTGGGCTCAAACTGCTGACTGTGGGGTTTGCATCCAAAAGGGAAACCCGGTGGGCCCTGAGGGCTCCTTTTACCACCAGAAGAGGGGACAAAAGAAACAGTCACTGCTTAGCGCCTTCTGCACTGCTTCTCAAATATCCACCTTAATGTGCTTCCTGGTCTCAAACTATCACAACCCATGACAGACGCCACTGCATTCCAAGTCTCATCCCCCAACAGCCTCCTCACCAGCAGGCCAAGCTCCCAACTACAGACGAGTGTGTGTGTGTGTGTGTGTGTGTGTGTGAGGCATGGTAGTGCACACACCACCTCATGACCAGAGGGGCATTCAGAGGTATGTGGGGACCTTTCTGGTGGCTATAATGACCGAGGGTGGAGGCAGCTCAATGCCAGAGGCCTGGAGAAAGAGCCTCTCAAAGCCCAGGAAGTTCTACCTGGAAGCCTGCCCCCCCCACCAGGAAGACAGCAGCTGTTCAGGTGCTCCCACTGGGGGCACAGCCCGACTGCAGCAGTGGCCCCCCGCATTCCATTTCGGTGTTTACTTTGGGGGTGAGGAGGGCTGGAAGAATTGTCAATGGTCAGGTCAGAATCGGATCACCCAGCCAGCACAGCAGCCACCTCACAGCCAGGGACGACTCTCTCCTTCATTCTGAGACGGCACAGGATGCAAAGGCTAGCTCAGCCCCAGGTGGCCCCGGTCAGCTGGCACTCAGGCCCCCCACACCTGGTGCCTAAGCACTGAGTCAGGTGGCATGGAGGCACTGGTAGGTACCTCCTACTGAAATTAAGGGCATGGTGGGCCACAGAGGTAAAGGGAGATGGATTTTCCCAGGATGCCCACACCACCTTCACTCTTCACCGTGGAGTAGCAAATGGAAGACAGGATGGAGTCCAAGAGCTGAAGAGAAAGTTTCAAAGGGCAGTTTGAGAAGACAGTCAAATATTTTGATGAAATGTGCAAAGGCCTAGAGTTAGAAAACCAGTCGAGGAAGAACATGCTCAGTAAATCTGAAACTAAAAGAACTTAAGAAAAAAAAATTCAAGCCCTGAGTTGCAATATTGAAAGATTCTATGGGAAAAATACTAAATGATGCTGGAAGCATCAAAAGACTATGGAAAGAACACATAGAATCACCGTACCAAAAATAACTGGTCTACAGTCAACCATCTCAAGAGGTGGCATATGAGCAAGGACCAGTGGTGCTGAAGGAATTAGTTCAAGCTGCACTGAAAGCATTAGCCAAAAACCAGGCTCCAGAAGTTGATGGAATGCCAACTGAAGTGTTTCAACAAGCTGATGACGTACCGGAAGCATGCATTCCTCGATGCTAGGAAATCTGGAAGACAACTGACTGGAAGAGATGCCGATGTGTACCCATTCCCAATAACAGTGACCCAGCAGAATGCTCACTTAGAGAACAACGTCATTACAAGCAAGTAAAATCTTGCTGAGGAGCATCCAACGAAGGTTGCAGCAGTCCACTGACAAGGAGCTGCCAGAGGTTCAGGCTGCATTCAGAAGACGTGGAACAAGGGAGATCATTGGTGGCTCTAGGCTGAAAAGCAGAGGTTACCAGAATGATTTAAGTTTTATTGACTATGCCAAGGCATTTGGCTGTGTGGACCGTAATAAACCATGTGTAGTCCGGAGCAGAATGGGAATTCCAGAAGTCTTCATTGTGCTCAATCGGAAGCTGTCTATGGATCAAGAGGCAGTTGTGCAAACAGACAACAAGGGGATACTGCGTGGTTTAAACTCAGCAAAGGTGTGCATCAGGGCTGTTCCCTCTCCCGATACTTATTCAATCGGCACGCTGAGCAGATCATCAGAGAAGCTGGATCATGGAAAGACGCATTAATTCTCCAGGCAGATAATTCTTTAACAGGTAAGCTCAGTTCTTACTGGGTTTGGAAACACGATTTAAGGACCAGAGATCCTCTAAGGACACTATTGCTTTCGAGTCCAGTGAAGAGTTACACTCTTGAAAACTCAGGGGCGGTTCCGCTCCGTGAGCTGGAGCGGACTTGATGGCAGTGAGTTGCTTCATCTACACGGGATCGAACTGACAGCAGCCGTGTCGGCGCATCGTACAGGCAGACCCTGATGAGTTGGTGTCAGGTTCCGCTGTCTGTACTCTCCACCACAACAAATGGAAGCCACACGTGCTGTCAGGAGGGACCAGACCCCGGAGAAGGGCAACAGGCCAGGTAACATGGTGGGCAGAGAGAGTAAGGCCCTCAAGGAGAAGGGTGGTCACAGTGGGGCAACGGTGGGCTCACCACAGGAACGCTGGTGAGGCCGGCGCAGGGCCTGGCGCGGTGTCCTTCCGGCTTCTTTAGGTCAATGGCCCCTAACAACAATATTATCATATGTATGTGTGTGTGACACACATACACGCATACGCATGCACACACGCGGATATGACTCAGCATGCCTTCTTTACACAGGCCAGCGAGGACACCTGCGCAAACCGGACAGGCCTCTGGCTGTGGGGGCCTAGTGCCCACTTGTCACGTCCCCCTGTCCTTTCTGCATGGGTCCTGTAAGGAACTACAGTTGGGCAAAATTTCAGCGCTGCCTAAATTTAGCACGGCATAAATTAACATAGGAAATTCCCCCTAGAAGCAGCTCTCCAAGTTATAAAAAATCGCTGCCTTCCTTTAGGAAACTGTCAGCACTTCAGGATGGCTTCTGCTCATCCTTCAGAGCGGCTGCAGTAAGCACCTGGGTGTCACTACGGGAACAGCCAGCTTGACCTTCAAGAGTCTTTCTGGCTCAAGACACTGAGGCCAACGGCCCCCTACACGGCAGGTCACATCGGCCCCATGAGGCCCGCGAGGAAGAGGAGGAGGGCTTTGCTCATTGATTACAGCCACAGGCGCACGCCTGCTCGAATATTCCTGTCACAGGGAATCCTGTCCCGACTTCTGGGCAGCGGCTTCTTGGAGTGTCCGACTGCCATCACGAGGAGTCGGCGCTCGGCTGTCCCTGTGTCTTTAAGAGAAATGAGGGCAGCCTGGACCGCCAGGAGAGTAAAACCGTTCTGATGGAAAGCACCTCACGTTGCCCCAGGGCTCCCAAAGGCCCTGTGCAGGTGGGTGGAGAAGCAAGAAGGCTGACCTAATGTGGGGACATGGGACACAGCTTGGGTGGGGCTCAGCGCAGTGCTGTGTTCTTTCTCGGGGGGCGTTGGAGGAGGGGGGTGTGGGGGCAGGTGCTGTGGAGCCATGGGCATCAGAGGGCGTCTCGAGGCCATGACATCCAGGAGCCGATGGCCAGGCCTTTCTTCTGGGTGGGTTTGAACCTCCCACCTTTGGGTTAGTAGCCAAGCACTCACCTTTCTGCACCCCCCCAACCCCCCATCCAGGGGCAGCCTGAGATCCCGATGAGGTCTCCAAACCCAAACCCAAACCCACTGCCATCTGCTCAATTCTGATCCACAGCGACCCTCCTGGACAGAACAGAACTGCCCCCATGGGTTTCTGAGGCTGTGCATCTCTACAAGACCCAAAGCCTCATCTTTCTCCGGTGGAGCTGGCTGCTGGTTCAAACTGTTGGCTTTGCGGTTAGCAGCGCAAGGCATAAACCACTAGGCCACCGGGGCTCTGGCCATCAGTGAGACGTCGTTGTTGTCAAGGTGCTGTTGCGTTGCTTCTGAACCACAGTGACCCGATGGACACCGTCCCCACGATGGTTCCGTGCCCGAACCCACTGCTGCAGCCGCTGCGTCCATCCATCTCTCTGCTGCCCCTCTGCTTTCCCAAGCACGATGGTCCTCCTCCAGGGACCGGTCTCTCCTGACAACATGTCCAAAGCCCATGAGATGAAGTCTTGCCATCCTTGCTGCTAAGGAGCATTGAAAGCAAGCTCACTGACGACAGAGAAGAAGAACGGAGGAACTCCATTATGAAAAGCCTCCGTGAGTTCTGCTTGGGTACCCCACTCTCCCTGCCTTCCTGGCTCCCTGAAAGCTGACCAGCCAGTTGTACTTGGTTTCCGGAATCTAGTACGTGTTGGGCTGCTGACCGCAAGGCTGGCAGTTGGAAATGACCAGCCGCACTTCGGGAGAAAGACAGGGCTTTCTCCTACTGCAGTTACTGCTCTGGAAACCCAGGGGGGCAGTTCAACCCCGTCGCTGAGTCGGCATGGACGCGATGGCAGTGGGTGTGGTCTGACCCTCCAGTGAGAGCCCCTCTTGGTTCTTCCTGCTCTGGAGGAAACGCAAGTCACGTTTGTGCGCCTGGGCCTTGCTTCCCGTCTCCTGGGCAGAATCCCGATCCAGTCACCAGCCGGAGTGTCAACACAAGGCAGTCCGAACTGTTGAGGGATGAGCACCGGAAAAGACAGCCCACTAAGAAAAAGTGAAAATCTATTACCATGGTAATACTTCTTCCATCAGACTCAGATTATATATATTAAAAAAATGTCATAAAGCGACCGGTACCCTCTGCCAAGTGGGTTAGGAAAGGATTCTGAGGGTGGAGAGGGTGGGTAACAAGTTTAAAGCTGGGAATTCGGTTTGCTTGATGCAATTCCCTAGTCTCAGGGCCGCCCTGCTGAAGGCTGGGAGCTCTGTCCGGCCATGCCTGTGCCCTGAGGCTGGGGGATGGGCACTTGTCACTAGGGGATGGTGATAAAGAAGCCTTCCCACACAGTAAGCTGAGAACCGCCAGGTCTTCCCGAGAGGCAACCCTTCCTGATCGAGAGTGATGGTCTCTGGGGGCAGCACTAGGGTCCATCCGAGGGAACGGGAGGGGAGAGGACCAGGGCAGGTCAGTGGAAAGGACCAGGGTGCTGGGAAGCCACACAGGGTCGTCACAATTGGGAGTGAGCTGGGGGCCAGGCTCCTTCCCTCCCAC